CATTCCAACTTAAAGATCTAGTGGGTGAGTCACGTTTCCTTTCAGAGTTGCGAGCAATTCTGAATTCTGATGATGAAGCGAGCATAAAATCATCATTTTTATAGGTAATCATAATAAGTAGGTGTGGCCTAACCACGTGAATACACGTGTGTTAATTATGCTGTCAGCTGGGTACTTGGACTGCATGTGATATCATCCTCTGAAGACTTAACAATAATACTCAGTGTCAGTCTCTGATCCATTGGAATGAATCTACTATTCAACTGTCATGACTTCTCTCTTTATTAGGACCCATTTTACACACGTGGTATCACGTGGACAAAGTGGGCAGGGATTTGTAGGCGTGGCATGGCTCAAGAAAGGTGGTGAGTGCAGAACAGAAGCTCAATGAAGTACATCAAGTACATATAAACCAGCTACTGATAATAGTTTACACACTGTGTATGTTAGGAATCAAAAGCAACAACTCCACCTCCTCCTGCTAAACCGGGACCAGAGAAAAGAAAGGTATGAATATATTTTTATTATTATTATGCACTATTATTGTGTATAAAGTTTGAGTTGATTTTGATTAAAATTAGATTTTTACAAATTTCTAGAGTTGCTCCAAAATCAGCTAAAATTTCTTCTACTATAGTACATGGTCTGCACAAGCTAAATTTCACTAAAAGAGAAAAGGAAGAGATTTCTCCTTTTTAATTACATTTCTGTACTTATTATGTTATGTAGAAAGTTTGAGCTAATTCTGTTGGAAAAATTTTTATGAACTTTTGTATTTGCTCTAAATTTGGCTAAAAATCTCTGTACTATATATGTGTATAGTACAAGATCACGAGCTTATTTTTTTTTAATTGAAGAAAGAGAATCTATGGTACTTATACATTTTCCTCATTTTCTGATGCACATACACATGTACATGTACTTATGTTTTGTAGTAAATTTGAGCTGATTATGCAAAATTGAATTTTTTGCAAGTTACTAAAAAAATTGGGCCAAATTTCACCAAAATTGAAAAGGAGAGAAATCTGCTTTGTTTCTTATTTTTACTACATGTATTTCAATTTTTTAGAAAGTTTAAGCTGATTCCTATCAAAATTTGGATTTTTAATGATTTTTGAAGTTGCCCTAAATTGGCTATAAGTTTGCATACATGGTCATGAGCTAAATTTTTGCAAATTTGAATATAAAAGAAAATCCTGCATTTTATTACATTTTATGATGTTGTACTTACATGTACATGTATAGCCTCCCCAGTGACCCTAGTGTATTTGTATTTAAAGGTCATTTTTATTTTACTTAATTTTTATTCTATCTTACTTTTCTCCCTCCCCCTCTCTCTCTCTCAGATCCCGATCCAAAGTGTATGTGAGACAGTTGTTCCTAAGCTGATACCTGAAGATATCCCCTTGCTACACAGTCTCCTTCAAGATGTATTCCCAGGA